TTCCCTAGCCCCCCTTCCTGATGTAAAAAATAAAGGACACGTGTGGTCAAAAATAGAAAATCTCTTTATTTAACAAAACTGGGGTGGGGATTAACCTCTTGGGAGACTGGGAAAAGGAGGTGGGAGAGCAGGAGGCGAGAGGGTGGGAGAGGGGAGGGGGAAACCTGGGAGGAGGGAGCTGGAAGGGGGAAGCCAGGGGAAGAAGGAGGAGGGGAAGTATAAAACTATGGTACGCCATATCTTCAGTACTGTGTACAGACGTGGTCTCATCACCTCAAAAGAGATGTTTTGGCCTTGGAAAGGCAACTAAAATGATCAGGGGTTTGGAACAGGTCCGATATGAAGAGAGGCTAAAGAGATTGGGACTTTTCAGCTTAGAAAAGAGGAGACTGAGGAGGGATATGATAGAGATCTATAAAATCATGAGTGGTGCGGAGAGGGTTGGTGTGGAGAGGGTGCATAAAGAAAAGTTCTTCATTGGTTCCCATAATAGAAAGACTAGAGGACACCAAATGAAATGAATGGGTTGCAGGCTTCAAACTAATAACAGAAAGTTCTTCTTCACAAAGCAAATAGTCAACCTGTGGGGAATATGATAGAGGTCTATAAAATCATGAGTGGCGTGGAGAGGGTGCATAAAGAAAAGTTCTTCATTGGTTCCCATAATAGAAAGACTAGAGGACACCAAATGAAATGAATGGGTTGCAGGCTTCAAACTAATAACAGAAAGTTCTTCTTCACAAAGCAAAGAGTCAACCTGTGGAACTCCTCACCTCAGGAGGCTGTGAAGGCTAGAACTATAACAGAGTTTAAAGAGAAGTTAGATAAAGTCATGGAGGTTGGGTCCATGGAGTGGTATTAGCCAGGGTGTAGAAATGGTGTCCCTGGCCTCTGTTTGTGGAAGGCTGGAGATGGATGGCACGAGTTAAATGGCTTGGTCATTGTCTTCGGTCCATCCCCTCTAGGGCGCCTGGTGTTGGCCGCTGTCGGCAGACAGAATACTGGGCTAGCTGGACGTTTGGTCTGACCAAATACAGCCCTTCTTATGTTCTAAGCTCAGGGCTCAGGGTCTGGTGTCTCTGTACCACCTTGATTTTCATGCAGACCTGCTCCTGGGTGGCCAGGCTGGCAGCTCTCTTGCCCTAGACGGCCACTTTCCTGTGCCTAGTGCCGAGGGCGTGG